AACTTTTGTAATTTTTATCGGCGCGTTTTCGGACCTTTCCTTAAACTTTCTAGGCAAAAATACGAATCGAATGACACCTTGGTCGTAATTTTTGGACAGGGCTGAAAAATGTCACCAAAAAGAGCTAAATCGAGTACATGTGAACCAGACTAATAATACAATTCCATCCACCACAAAAAATGATTACCGATGTTATTCATTCTAAGAGAACTGAAATATTAACAGAATGTGTCGCTTGATTACTTTAATTTTTTTACTCGTTGATGATAATGAATGCACTAGACAGTTTCTCAAAATGGCACTGACTGATTAGTGCAGTTTGCCGTGGAGTTTTTGCAAGAAATTTAACAGCATGAAGCTGTTCACTACGGGGTGTCTATCACTTTATCTCACAGTGTGTGTATTCCAGGTGAATATTAAAATGGCACACCGTGTTTAAATGATCGAATGATGGATGATCCTTTCATTTATTATTCCAAATAGATTTCTTGAACATCTGAATAAATTCTAAATGAGCTGAGGTGGAACAAAAATCATTACATGCTGTACATGCTTCTTATAGAAATACGCTTTTATAAAGTGGTTTTTGTTGACTATTGTTTCGAAAAGGTCAGCTGTTTTTGAAAATGCTTCCAATTATTCAATTCCACTAGAACTACCTAGGTGTATATAATAATAATTTCATTGGACACAGCTCTTAAGAAGGGCAAACCATATAACGTGTTTTGGGCTTTGGCCCATCATCAGTATGCTGCAGCCAAATGCAAAGATGGACAAAACATTTCATACATCGAGAAAACCCTTCTTGAAGATGTGTGTCTCATCCACAGAAGTTATGTTCACAATTATTTCGTTTCACTAGAACTACCTATGTGTATATAATAAAAATTTTATTAGACACAGTTCTCAAGAAGGGCAAACCATATAACGTGTTTTGGACTTTGGCCCATCATCAGTATGCTGCAGCAAAATGCAAAGATGGACAAAACATTTCATATATCGAGAAAACCCTTCTTGAAGATGTGTGTCTCATCCACAGAAGTATTTTGCCGATACAGTCTGGTAGAAAACTTGATTGAGTCACACGAAAATTACTTTTTCAAAAAAACTTGATTGTGAGATTTGCACTGAACAATTTTACAAAAACACAACACGTGTTTCGCTATACAATGGCTTCTCCAGGCATGTCCATACCAACAAATTTTTGCAATATAAAGTTCTTGAGATTTTACCTACCCGATTGTTAAAAATGTGTACCTGAGTTTGGGAATCAATCAATTAACATTAACATAAGAAAAGAAGAGAATATGAACAAACTCATTCATGTAAAACAAGTGATAAATGAAATTATCTAAGCTTATGTATCAGTTGATTATCAGTTTCCACGATTGAAAAAATAGTCAGAAATATGGAGTTATTCAATTTTAATCGTTAATCTATTCATTTCTGAACATTCCAGAAGATTGAGTTTCCAACTTCACTTTTCTGAATGTAACACGTCATAGTCGTAATTGAATTCATGTCCTACCGATAGATGGTTCGCCAACGTGGAATTGGCCTTTCCATTCAAGAAACTACTTATGTGCTCTTTGATTCTTTGGTAAAACGTTCTAACCGTTTGGCCAATATAAAGTTTTGGGCAAAAGCCACAAGTTACTCTTAAATGAGTACATGTTGTACAAGCTTCTGATAAAAATATGCTTTTGTAAAATGATTTTTGTTGAATATGGTATGTTATATACTAACATAGTATATAATATACCTTACAGTGATTGTGATTTACAGTACATTGGAACTTCTTCTAGATCATTTAGAGATCGAATTGTTTCCCATATAAGTGACATAAGACTCAATAAAAAATCTTGTGCTTTGGCTGAACATTGTGTTAATTGAGAAA